AAGCAGGCTAACACCCTTGGACTGGTGGAATACTGACATGACGTCTTCGTTTAGGAGTTTGGTTTGTCCTGAGTGTTGGTTATCAGCCGTCCCATTTCATTCATCATGGCCCCTATGCTTCCCTTGTTCTTATTTCAACTTCCTATGTATCTAGGACTTTTTGTTGTCCTTGATTCTAGTTGTCAGTTTGTGTTCGGTTAGCGATTAGCTGTCCTCATCTGCTCCCTAAAGGTGTGGGCTGTTTCTGAATACTCCTCTTTTTGGCTGTTATTTCTAACTTCCACCCCTTGTAGGCTTCTCATTTTAATTTCAGGAGGTCTATGACTTTCTTGTTGAGCCAAGGGGGTCTCCCAGCTCTTTTGCTGCCCTTCTTGTAAAAGGGGATGGATTTCCTTTGGGCTTTTATGATGGCTTCCTAGAGGAACAACCACACTTCTTGTATACCCTTTCTCATCAGACCATGGTCCTGCAGGGCCTTGCTAGCCAATCTCCTGAGTTTGTGGATATTAGCTTTCCCCAAATCAGGAATTTCTACCCTATTGGCCAATTTTCTTGCCTTATGGTGGATGGAGAAAGCAATCATTTCATGGTCACTGTTGCTCAGTTTCCCTTTGATCCTCAGGTTGCTCACTAGATCATCCCCTTTGGCCAGAAACAAGTCTAGGAACACTTTGCCCCTGGTTGGCCCATAGACTTCTTGAGTTAGATAGAGCTCCTAAATGCAAGCAAAGAAGGTTTGTGAGTGATCTGATCTATCTGAGTGCTCATCACATGAGATGTCTGGGTAGTTGAAGTCACCCATGAGCTGTTCCTCTTGGTTTGGAGGTCTGTAATAGACTCCTATGGTCAAATCCCCTTCCCCACATTCTCCCTGTATCTTGACCTAGAGCGTCTCAAGTCACCCTTCTTTGTTTCCAATCTTTGCTTCTAGAGAGGTGTAACATTCCTTCACATAGAGAGCCTCTCCTCCTCCCTTCTTCTCAGCATGATCCTTCTTATACAGGGTGTATCCCCCTATGTGGATTGTGCAGTCATAGGTGGAGTCCCACCTGTGATCCCTATAAGATCATATTGCTGGTTGGTTAGTAGGAAGGCCAGTTCCTCCTGTGTGTTTCCCATGCTTCTGGTGTTAGTGTACAGGCAACTACGCTTGCTAATGAAGGCCCTAGGCTTTATGGTGAGCTGAGGAATGACCTGTCCTTTATCTGATGTTGGAGAAAGCTTCCTAATGTACCCCAGGATACTGGTTTTGAGGTCACTATTTCTTGGGCTTGTGTTAGTAGTAGGATGGTTCACCCCCTGGCGATCTTGGTTTAAAGCCCTATCCAGGAGGTCCAACATTCTGGCGAGAAAGCTGTTCTGTTACAAGTTTAAACCAGTTTCTGATCACTTAAATTAGGTTTATGTGTAATATCTGTCCCTAGCCTTTGAGGCATGTACCTGGCAGCAACATCCCACAATTACAGCAACAAACTGTGTTTTAAACAAATGTACAGGGGCTGAGAGTTCAGAGCCTCTATGCTAAATGTAGAACTTATTCAACAGTTAAAAACACTTGCTTAATCTC